CCCCCACTGTCACCAGTCACCTCCTCACTGTGTCACTAGTCACCCCCCCTCACTGTCACTAGTCACCCCCCACTGTGTCACTAGTCATCCCTTCCCTCACTCAGTCACCCCTTCCCTCCCTCACTTTGTCGCTAGTCACCTCTTCCCTCCCTCACTTTGTCGCTAGTCACCCCTTCCCTCCCTCACTTTGTCGCTAGTCACCCCTTCCCTCCCTCACTTTGTCACTAGTCACCCCCTCCCTCACTCTGTCACTAGTCACCCCCTCCCTCTGTCACTTGTCATCCCCTCCCTCACTCTGTCACTAGTCACCCACTCACTCTAGTGACAGAGTGAGGGAGGGAGTGACTAGTGACAGAGGGAGGGATGGGGTGACTGGTGACAGAGTGAGGGAGGGGATGACTAGTGACAGAGTTAGGGAGGGAGTGACTAGTGACAGAGGGAGGGATGGGGTGACTAGTGACAGTCACCATCTCCCTCCCTCTGTCACTAGTCACCCCCTCCCTCATTCTGTCACTAGTCACCCCCTCCCTCACTAGTCACCCCCCCCTCACTCTGTCACTGGTCACCCATTCCCTCCCTCACTCTGTCACTAATCATCCCCTCACTCTGTCACTAGTCACCCTCTCCCTCACTCTGTCACTACTCACACCCTCCCTCACTCTGTCACTAGAGTGAGGGGATGACTAGTGACAGAGTGAGGGAAGGGGTGACTAGTGGCAGAGTGAGGGAAGGAAGGGGTGACTGATGACAGAGTGAGCAGATGACTGGTGACAGAGTGAGAGAGGGGGATGACTAGTGACAGAGTGAGGGGGTGACTAGTGACAGAGTGAGTTAGGGGGTGACTAGTGACAGAGTAAGGGACAAAGGGGGTGACTAGTGACAGAAGGAGGGATTGAGTAGTGACAGAGGGAGGTGGTGACTAGTGACAGAGGGAGGGAGGTGGTGACTAGTGACAGTCACCACCTGCCTCACTCTGTCACTAGTCACCCCCTCACTCTAGTGACAATGAGGGAGGGGGTGACTAGTGACAGAGTGAGGGAGGGAAGTGGTGACTAGTGACAGAGTTAGGGAGGGAAGGGGTGACTAGTGTCAAAGTGAGGAAGGGATGACTAGTGACAGAGGGAGGGGTGACTAGGGACAGAGTGAGGGAGGTGGTGACTAGTGACAGTCACCACCTCCCTCACTCTGTCACTAGTCACCACCTCCCTCACTCTGTCACTGTGTCACCCCCTCCCTCTGTCACTGGTCACCCACTCCCTCCCTCACTCTGTCACCAGTCACCCCTTCCTTCCCTCTGTCACCAGTCACCCCTTCCTTCCCTCTGTCACTAGTCACCCCTTCCTTCACTCTGTCACCTGTCACTCCCTCACTCTGTCACCCCCTCACTCTGTCACTAGTCACCCCCTCACTCTAGTGACAGAGTGAGGGAGGGGGTGACTAGTGACAGAGAGAGGGAGGGTGTGACTAGTGACAGAGAGAGGGAGAGGGTGACTAGTGACAGTGAGGAAGGGTGTGACTAGTGACAGAGTGAGGGAGGGTGTGACTAGTGACAGAGAGAGGGAGGGGTGACTAGTGACAGAGTGAGGGAGGGAAGGGGGTGACTAGTGACAGTCACCACCTCCTTCACTCTGTCACTGTGTCACCCGCTCCCTCACTCTGTCACTAGTCACCCCCTCACTCTAGTGACAATGAGGGAGGGGGTGACTAGTGACAGAGTGAGGGAGGGAAGTGGTGACTAGTGACAGAGTTAGGGAGGGAAGGGGTGACTAGTGTCAAAGTGAGGAAGGGATGACTAGTGACAGAGGGAGGGGTGACTAGGGACAGAGTGAGGGAGGTGGTGACTAGTGACAGTCACCACCTCCCTCACTCTGTCACTAGTCACCACCTCCCTCACTCTGTCACTGGTCACCCACTCCCTCTGTCACTGGTCACCCACTCCCTCCCTCACTCTGTCACCAGTCACCCCTTCCTTCCCTCTGTCACCAGTCACCCCCTCACTCTGTCACCCCCTCACTTTGTCACAGTCACTCCCTCACTCTAGTGACAGAGTGAGGGAGGGGGTGACTAGTGACAGAGTGAGGGAGGGGGTGACTAGTGACAGAGAGAGGGAGGGTGTGACTAGTGACAGAGAGAGGGAGGGGGTGACTAGTGACAGTGAGGACGGGTGTGACTAGTGACAGAGTGAGGGAGGGTGTGACTAGTGACAGAGAGAGGGAGGGGTGACTAGTGACAGAGTGAGGGAGGGAAGGGGGTGACTAGTGACAGTCACCACCTCCTTCACTCTGTCACTGTGTCACCCGCTCCCTCACTCTGTCACTAGTCACCCCCTTACTCTGTCACTGTGTCACCCCCTCCCTCACTCTGTCACTAGTCACCCCATCCCTCTCTCTGTCACTAGTCACCCCATCCCTCTCTCTGTCACTAGTCACTCCCTCCCTAACTCTGTCACTGTGAAGGAAGGAAGGGGTGACTGGTGATAGAGTTAGGGAGGGAGTGACTAGTGACAGAGTGAGGGAGGGGGTGACTAGTGACAGAGTGAGGGAGCGGGTGACACAGTGACAGAGTTAGGGAGGGAGTGACTAGTGACAGAGAGAGGGATGGGGTGACTAGTGACAGTCACCCCCCCTCACTCTGTCACCAGTCATCCCCTCACTCTGTCACTAGTCATCTCTTCCCTCCCTCACTCTGCCACTAGTCACCCATTCCCTCACTCTGTCTCTAGTCTCCCCCTCTCCTTCCCTCTGTCACTAGTCACCCACTCCCTCACTCTGTCACCAGTCACCCCCACTCACTGTGTCTCCCCCTCACTCTGCCACCACTCAACCCCTCCCTCCCTCACTTTGCCACCAGGTACCCCCTCACTCTGCCACCTGTCACAACCTCCCACACTCTTCCACCTGTCACCTTCTCCCTCACACACTCTGTCACCTGTCACATATGCATTCACACAGACACTGTATACAAAAAAGCACATGTAGTCATCCAGACATGCACAGGTGCATTCACACAGACTCAAATACAAACATGCATTGATACACAGGTCTTCACAATACACACATCCAAAGGAATGCCGTATTATGAATTATATTTAACATTTATTTAATGCACATATATTTGGCCTTCAAAGGGCCTGGGATCTAATTTTGCCCAGGGGCCCCAAAGGCTCTCAGTCCGCCCATAGCTGCAGACACTGGTGAGGTCCCTCCAGCCCCACCTTGTAGTCCACCATAACCACTAGATGTGCCTGCAACCTGCACCCTGCTGTCCCCAATTAGAGGAACCCACACCCTACTAAAATGTGACCCCTGTCTCTCCCTTGAGCTCCAATTGTCCAAATATTACTTTAAACTATCAAGCAGGTTCCATGAGTGTGGTGCAGAATAGGACTCACCGCCAGAACCCCCTGCCATCGCTGGCCCTGGGGAGCCATCCGTCCGTTAACCAAATGAAGGTCCGGAGCTTCGTTGCCACGCAATTGTTCCTCAGCCTGGTCCTGGGACCATAGGAGAGCGGCTTGCAGACCTGTAGGATTGACGATAGCCTGGGTAGAATGTTCACCGGTGACCTCGCCCAGCTCTCTTCCGTGCTCTCCTGTCGTGAAACCCTGTTGCGGCCCCTGCCAAGCTGGCCCGAATGGCCACCCTGTGTCACCTGCCTAGGTGGTGAGCTTCCGCTAGAGGACCTGGAAGTGCTGCGCCCATAACTGCGCCTCCTGCCTGGGGACGATGCTCACCCCTGCTGTGATGCTTAGCAGCAGGGCTCTTATCTGGAGAGCGGAGAGCCAGACAAGTCACTCTGCCCTAAGGTGATTTAGCCAGCCGCGAGGCCCCCCCAGCACCTAAATCCCCTAATTAGAGAGCCGCCCCTGCATTCAGATAAACACTGACACATACACACACACACACACACATACAAACATTGCTCCCGTATGGCACCCAATGATTTTACTCTGCTTAGTACAGGTCCATTTAGACTTTAGTGAATAACACTCTTCACGCCCTAGATGTTCAGTGCACACCTTTGATGTGTGCCAAGCTGCTTTTATTTAAACTCTTTCCTTATTCATATTGTACTTGTACAGACAAGCATCCTGTTGGCTTTTCTCCCAAGGTTTGTGTTAAAGTTTGCTTTTATGTCACTTATCATAATAACTCAATATCATATTCTTTTCTTTCTGTTGACATTATTTATTATGTGTCATGTGCCTGGAACTGATGGTATAATGTTTTGCAAGGACTAAAGAGAAGAAAAAACAGGAAAGGTGGTGGGCATGTTTGTATTTCAAATCTTAAGCAAGTGGAATGTGACGAGGAAAATGTGGAAGCTTTATTGGTTAATTATTAATTATTAGTTGGAATATGTTATAAACCACCTAATATTATTACTGATGAAGAAGAACAGCTGTTAGAACAAATATGAAAATCTGCACATCTGGGTAATTAACACGTAAATTATTGGTGATTTAAATTATCTGGATATAAATTGGGATAGAGGGACCTGTAGTTCACAAAGGAGAATCAGGTTTTTGAATGTGTTAAATTGCACCTTTATGTCACAACGAGTACAAGCACCAAATACTTACAGTGAGAGGAAAAAGTATTTGATCCCCTGCTGATTCTGAACATTTACAGAATGACATAAAAAAAAAATAATCCAGAAAAACACATGTCAAAAAAGTTAGAAATTGATTTGCATGTCAATGAGTGAAATAAGTATTTGATCCCCTATCAATCAGCAAGATTTCTGGCTCCCATGTGCCTTTTATACAGGCAATGAGCTGAGATCAGGAACACTCTCTTAAAGGGCTGTGAAGGACTGAAATTCTGCAGAGCCTGCAAGGTCCCCCTGCTCAAGAAAGCACACGTAAAGGCCCGGCTTAAGTGTGCCAATGAACATCTGAATGATTCAGAGGAGAACTGGGTGAAAGTGTTGTGGTCAGATGAGACCAAAACCGAGCTCTTCGGCATCAACTCACCTTGCCATGTTTGGAGGAGGAGGAATGCTGCCTATGACCCTAAGAACACCATCTACACCAGGGCCGGACTGGGAAGAAAATTCGGCCCGGGCATTTTTTAATTAGATCACCAATGACAAGCACGCCCCATCACAAAGTGAGCATGTTGGTTCAATGCTCTTCCAGGGTAGACCATGCGCAGAGCTCTGCTGAAGAGCTCTGGCATGAGAAAAATACCCTGTATTTGTACTGCACAGCGCAAGCAAATTTAATAACATACTTGCACTGTGTTTGCTTGAAATTTGTCTGTGGTGTCTCCATAGTTGGGATACCAGGAGACAAAAATACCAGGAAAGCATATTGCGCAGTGTGTGTGAGGGTGCTCTGTGTGTGTGTGTGTAAGGGGTGTAGTGTGTGTGAGAGAGGGGTGCAGTGTGTGTGTGAGTGATGGGTGCTGCGTTTGCGTGAGGGTGCTATGTGGGTAAGGGTGCTGTGTGTGTGATGGGTGCAGTGTGTGTGTGCTGTGTGTGAGTGGGTGCTGTGTTTGCATGAGGGTGCTATGTGCATGTGAGGAAGCTGTGTGTGAGGGTGCAGTGTATGCATGTGAGGAAGCTGTGAGTGTCAGGGGTGCAGTGTGTGTAAGTGAGGGTTTGTGATGTGCGTGTCAGGGGTGCAGTGTGTGTGAGGGTGCTGTGAGTGTCAGGGGTGCAATGTGTGTGTGTGAGGGTGCTGTGAGTGTTAGGGGTGCATTTTGTGTGTGCTGTGAGTGTCAGACGTGTAGTGTGTGAGTGAGGGTGCTGTGAGTGTCAGGGATGCAGTGCGTGTCAGGGGTGCAGTGTGTGTGTGTGAGGGTGCTGTGAGTGTCAAGGGTGCAGTGTGTGTGCTGTGAGTGTCAGGGGTGCAGTGTGTGTGTGAGGGTGCTGTGAGTGTGCATTTTGTTTGTGCTGTGGGTGCAGTGTGTGTGCTGTGAGTGTCAGGGGTGCAGTGTGTGTGTGAGGGTGCTGTGAGTGTCAGGGGTGCAGTGTGCGTGTCAGGAGTGCTGTGAGTGTCAGGGGTGCAGTGTGTGTGTGTGTGAGTGCTGTGAGTGTCAGCTGTGGTGTGTGTGTGTGTGAGGGTGCTGGGAGTGTTATGTGCCCTGCTGTGCCCTGATTATATCCCCCTTCCCTGCTTACCTTATGCCTGGGAGGGGGGATCCTGCTACTCCTGCCGCCATCCATCCCTGGTGGTCCAAGTGGTGAGTGAACTCTAGCCTGTTGGGCTAGAGTTCACTCTCGCGATACCCGGAGCGTTGCCATGGCAACGCTCCGAATCTCACGAGAGGAACCCGGCGGAGCTGTAAGTTAAAGCTCCGCCGGGGTTCCTCTGCTGGCAGGCTGGCTCCCTCCCTCTCTCCCCCGGCGGCCGCAGTATTCTCTATGTGGGCCGGTGAGGGAGATCTCTGATCTCCCCACCGGCCCGCTGTAGACTACTGCAGGGCTGGCGTTCAGATAGCGCCGGCCCTGCAAAGACCGGCAGGGGAGATCCTGTTATCTCCCTGCCAGCCTCGGCCCCACGGCCACCGCGGCCCACCGGGCATTTGCCCGGTGTGGCCGATGGCCAGTCCGGGCCTGATCTACACTGTCAAACATGGAGGTGGAAACATTATGCTTCGGAGGTGTTTTTCTACTAAGGGGACAGGACAACTGCACTGCATCAAAGGGACGATGAACAGGGCCATGTGCCATCAAATCTTGGGTGAGAACCTCCTTCCCTCTGCCAGGGCATTGAAAATGGGTCTCGGATGGGTATTCCAGCATGACAATGACCCAAAATACCCAGCCAAGGCAACAAAGGAGTGGCTCAAGAAGAAGCACATTAAGGTCCTGGAGTGGCCTAGTCAGTCTCCAGACCTTAATCTTATACAAAATCTGTGGAGGGAGCTGACGGTTCGAGTTGCCAAACGTCAGCCTTGAAACCTTAATGACTTGGAGAGGATCTGCAAATAGAAGTGGGACAAAGTCCCTCCTGTGCAAATCTGGTGGCCAATTACAAGAAATCTCTGACCTCTGTCAATGCCAACAAGGGTTTTGCCACCAAGTTGAAGGGGTCAAATACTTATTTCACTCATTGACATTCAAATCCATTTATAACTTTTTTGACATGCATTTTCTGGATTTTTCTTTTTGTTATTCTGTCTCTCACTGTTAAAATACACCTACTATTCAAATTATAGACAGATCATTTCTTTGTCAGGGGGCAAACGTTCAAAATCAGCAGGTGATCAAATACTTTTTTTCTCTCAATGTATAAAATACAATGTTGATCTTTTGACCAACATTCAAGTAGGGGAGAACTTGGGAAATAGTGATCAAAATATGGTACCTTGAACTAAACTCAAAAAAGCATAAGCACACAGGGTATACTAAAACATATAATTTTAAAAAGGCCAGTTTCAATAAGATAAGGGTAGCTACAACCTATTGACTGGCAACAACTCTTTAGTGATAAAAATCTCTGAGGATAAATGGAATATCTTTAAAGGGACACTATAGTCACCAGTGCAACTACATTTATTCCTGACCCTATAGTGTTAACACGACCATTTAGCCCCCCTGGGCCCCTCATGCCTCCATAAATATAGTAAAAATCTTACTGTATTCAAGCCAGAATCTGTAAATCTGCATGCTGTTAGACTCAGGAAAAACAAGCAGTCTGCTGACATGTGATAGCCTGACCCAATCACAGTGCTTCCCCATAGGATTGGCTGAGACTGACAAGGAGGCAGATCAGGGGAAGAGCCAGCATGATTCAAACACAGCCCTGGCCAATCAGCATCTGCTCATAGAGATGAATTGAATCAATGAAT